TCCCCCCCCCCGCTCACCTTTCACCGCCAATCCCTCCCCCCACTACCATCGTTTTATTCTCTTAGATTCTCTTAGACATGGGAAATGGTAAGGAAAGGAAAGGATAATGCAGAAAAGAACTAGCGGATGAAGCCGGATCTCGAGGGGGATATAGTAATTCCAGACGATATTTTCGGAACGCGAGCTTTGGTGAGAGTTTCGTATAAAGCGAGGCAGGCGAACGAGCTATCCGAGTTTAATAATCGAACGACGAGTCGGTGGAATAAATTGTTGAGCCAAGTGCCGCTTGCGCAGAACGAAAGCTATAAAGTTCGAGATCCGTTGAGGGCGGATGAGAAGGTAAAGTAAGCTCGTGGGAGTAAACGTTATTATTCGGTAAGAAAAATGGTAGAATGTACGGCTTTCGGGGCCCAGTGGAGGGAGAAAATAAATATAATCGAGGTAGGGAGTGCACGAGAGCATGCGTGGGAGTAAACAGAGAGTTCACGGTATTTCACTTCCGTGAAGATCTTTCGTAATTACCGTTGAGATGTATATCTGTCTCCCTTTGGAGTCCACCGATTGCCGTGGCACGGGCGCTGCCTGATAAAATTATATTCATAATTCGTGATAGAATATTTTAAATTCGCGCGCATTTTCATTGTTTGTAAATCAAGAGAACTGTCTCGTGTGCTTTGCGCAATATAAGCGAATTTCCGTTTCAACGTTCACATTGAAATCTTGAATATTGTTTAGCATGCATCCTATAACGCTTATTAGCCGCTCTTATTAAAATCACGAATGAAACAATGACGAGAAGGTCACACTTTATTTAAAGTCTTTATTAAGAACAATGATATCAGCCATTGCCGTGGCTAATAGTAGCCAAGTGCTAAAGACAAAGAACAATGTCTCTCGCGGTAAAAGCCACGTTGTTGGCGTTAATTCTTAAATAACACAAAAAAAAAGGGAAAAGAAAAGAGAAAAAAATTGGTGCTCCGACACAAACGTATTCGCATCCTTACTTTCTATTACTTTTTCACAATGTGCCGGACGTACCGCGACTAGCCAATGAAGAGCGTTTTAAGGCGGCGCCGCGCATCTACCTTTACGATTTCCGCTTTTATTCAGTGGAAGGCGCTCGCACACACTATCACTAGGCAAACATTCACATCCCGTCTTGTCCTTCTCGCTTCAAATTTTTACATCGAGTGTCGCGGCGTTTATATGAATGGCCCTGTCACTTTTTCATTCGGTAAAGCACCAGTCCTATCAGAATGCACGCCCGCCAGCGCGCGCGCGCACACACACAAACATACACGCGCAAAGACAAGCAAGTAGAGAAATAAAAAAAGACGGGATTCCAACAAAATCTATTTCCGTGGGATGTATGTCCAGGCCTGCTTGCATCGCATCGAGCGCAAACACCAAACGCACAATAATCGAACAACGCTTCTTCCTTCCGTCATTTTTCTACCTTCTACCTTAATAATGCGATGCATTATTTGATAAGAAATGCACTGCTTGAGCCGCAAATTGTATCGATAAGACGAGCCGTCGCTATGCCACTCTGGTTATTGCCAACCCTGGATTATTATTCTCCCAGCTGAATACGGAAGTTGTAGTAACGTTGTCTATTGTAGTAACTTCCATCGCCTCCCACGGCTGATCCTTGGAGCGTAACGATACTTATCCCCGCATCCCGTATGTAAAAATGTAACGCGGCCTGATAATAATCGCGATAGATCGGCCGGTTAATCTGAAAAATCCGTGCGCTGCGCCTTGGGTGAGTGAGGAGTCTCGGATCTACCGAGCTAATGCCGGCAGCTGCGCTACGCCCACATTGTGCCTCGATATCGTTCGCGCGAGCAAATAACGGGGAAGAAGCGAGCGAGAGAGCGAGTGAGCGAGGTATACGAGTGTGCGTGCTTGCGCGCGTGACAGAGAGAGAGAGAGAGAGAGAGAGAGAGAGAGAGAGAGAGCAATGACATTTGTCAAGTAGAGCTGCGATTGTGCGTATATATTATACACTTGTTTGCCGTGCGAACGCCTCATCTTTCGCGCTGCTAACGACTTACGTAAGGAGCGATGCGCACCACTTGGCCGCTCATCGTGAGGTAATAAGTTTCTCTCCTCCCGTGCTCTCGCTCGTTTATGGAAATTTTTAGCGCTCTGGCATAACCGATTCCTTTTTTTCTCCTCCCGACGAGGCACTTTGAGCTCGCACTCGGACGCCGCCTCGTCTATATTTATCGTCGCGCGGACGCCTGGAGCTTGGCCTTTTCGCTCGATCGGCCGATCCATTCTTCGGCTACTAATTAGCTAAGCTCGCAAGCGCGTCGTTTACATCAGCGCTCATTATTCAATATACACGGCGACGTAGCGCGAGTAACGCCATCCTCGAATCTCAAAAAATCTAACCATCATAGCCTATTCCTTCTAAATTCACACAATCTTGCGCGAAAATAAAGCTCGAGACTTATTAGCGTTGCCACTTGTGATTATCGCAGCACGAAATCCAACTTCTCCAATTCCTCACGAACTTTATGTGTTTTTTACTATACTAATACGCGCTTTTCTCTCCCCCCCCCCCCCCAACACACTCGTCCACGTACTATCTCGATCAATAACACTGTTAAAGTACAAAGTCGGAGTATGAACGAACTTGATTTACGTCTGCTCGTCGTTTATGCAAGGTTCTCATCAAAGCCATATCAACTACGCACGATTAGAAAAAATTTTTTGCACATAATTATTACTTTAACGATCGGTTTCGGCTACTACGAGCTCCGACAATATAATACCGAGCGTTTATTCAATATTTAATCGTTCATTTCGGGCACCTCGGCACTTATCAGCATAATTAAATGGCTGCACGCACTGAGATCGCAGTTAACGGTATTTGAAAACAAAAATCCATGACATTTCTTTATGATAAGTTTGCGTATGTGGTTGGGCACAATAGGCTCCTCGTCCCTTAAAGACACATGCCCGAAAAATCTAGGTATCCCCCGATGAGA